GGGGGTTAGAGGTAGCTATTCAGAATAATTAGATAAAGATAACGAACAAACTCATTTTATGTCAGCTTAAATTACATCACAAAGATTTTTTATTGATTATTTTCAATTGGTCTACATTATTCATTTTTCGGAAATGTCACTTCTCATAAAAGGCTAAAAATAATCTATTATTCTCACCAATAGTTCTATTCGTTTGTTGCCATTATTTTCCTGATTTTATCATTTATCATTACTTCATACTGCCATTAGCATATCCACTCATTTCTTTCCCGATTCAGCATKTCATTCAAATATAGACTTTCTGCTCTTTCTTGTTTAGTTGTTCCACTAATGAGAATGTCATCACGAGAAAAAGATGAAAAGTCGAGACAAAAGAAAACGAAAACTTTTCGTGACTAAACCCTGTCTCACTCAGACAAAATGATTGACGAAATTGTGTATTTTACTAGTAGATCAGGTTTTTCAAATGTCAAGCGATGAAAATAAAATTCACGGTATGCACCCCCCTGGAAATTAMGTTTTGCCCGGACTCGTTCACTAATAATATGGTCGCACGATATTTACTAAGACGATAACCATCAACACTAGCTTGAGACAATCATGTTATTGCGAAAAAATTCAAAAGCTTCTGGTACTAAAATAACACTGTGAAGATTGGCAAAAAAACGGTAAATCTCATATCAAGAACACAGTTAGCACCCATGACTAAGACAAAAGAAGGTTAATACTGCATTGTCAAGCATATCAATGTTTCCTGACCTTTGCGACGAAAATGCGTGCATCACGCAGGTTATGTGAGTCACGGAGTATTATCAATAAGCTAAGGAGATATCCCTGATCAAGTTTGGAAATTTGAACTGCTTTTCTTTGCTAAGAGACAAATAATTTCTTTGCGTTCAATCTCACTGTTTGCTGCCATTGAAGCGCCTTAGTTTTTAAGTATTTAAGGAGTTTTTCGTCTGGACAGAGATTAAAATGTTTAAAGTTTTTTGTTGTTGTCTTGTTGACTGAGAAACCTACTATTAGGTTAAGCAATCAAAGCAAGTTTCGACATGCTCGTAGCGTTCAATTTTAAAATCAAGTATCAAAAGGAAGTGAATTGAAACGAATTATAATATTTTTGATGAAATTCATTAAACTGATATCGATTCTCGTCAAATTGTTTGTAATAGATTCATATTTTAAATCGTTGTGCAATATTTGTGTTATAAATGACTATACCATAAACATTTGTAACTGATTATCGAAATACAATGCTCTATAATAGCTGTAAGTATAAATTCTCACAATATGAATAAATTTGTTTCTGGTAATCAATGTCAAGGTGTTACATAGGTCAGGAAGGTACTATGGTCATGTATCAAGAGATTAAAGATATGTGGTCTGAAAAAAAAMAACTGAAACTATTGTGTCATCAAACACCAATGTGTTGCGAAATTAAGGACTGAGATTATCGATGACAGAAAATTGAAATGGGATACACTTGTTACTATTGTATTTCGTTCATTATTTTATGCGTTGAGACTCTTTTCGGTTAGAATATCATTATGAATTCTGATATTGGTTAATTTATTAGTCTCGTCTAATCCACTCAACATATCAGTAGCCTGTATTGAAAGCAGAATTTTTTCATTTTTCTAAAATTGTTTTTTACTTCAAGCTTTATATGCTGAATAAGCACAGTAAAGGTAAGCACAGATAGCTTTCCTAACGTCGTGTGTGAGGGCAAGCTCCAACAGGCATTGATGTTGGTGCTTAAACGTGATTGAAACCAGAGGTATCAAACACTGTGATCTCAAGGAGCGCAAAATAGAAAACGTGTAATGCAAATATGTACAAAACGGTCACCATGACGACCCATGCGGTACGCATATATATACCCAGATATTACGCATGTGTTATTCTGATGTCCTACTAAACGGCTTAGGCGGATTTGAAATTTGGCTTGCTTCAAGAGAGTATGAAGTTCYTCAAACTCTCCAGTGCTTGCTCTTATAGACCCCTTGCAGAACGTAAGAATGTAGCTCAATCTGGGRGACAAAACAACATTCTCAGGAGAATGGAATTCTTTCGTTTTACCCCCTACATTGAGCTGCCCTGACGCCACATGCTTTCAACTAGGTTTTTTTTTTCGATTTAGGATTTCCTTATTTTGATATMTTTTTTTCTTCAAAATTTTCGTATATTCTCACAAGACCTTGGTCGTGAAGGTAATAAATAAACTGAAATACTATATTGATGGGTTGCAATCATTCCCAAGAGAGTCAAAACTCAAAAACATGGTGGCCATTGTGGTGCCATTAACAATGGATGCTAATGAGAAATCTTTTGTTAAATGGTACCAACATGGCCGCAGTGACGTAACGTGCAATCGAAGAATAAGTATGGTATAAAAGACACAGTAACGATGTTTTGAAGTTTCAAGAGGATTTGCACCTAAAAATGATCTGATTGCTAAAAGTTTTTGAAATTTCATTGCAATGCTATTTCATAAAATGAAAATCTATGTTTCTTTTTAAAGCCGTAGACCCATCACCATCGCAATCACCATGACAACTTTTAGGACACAAAACCCTTATTTAAAAAAACTCTAGTTCCCAGACCTCTCGCTCCAGTCAAAAACAAAATGGCGGTCACAACTATTGATGGATGGTACGCTGGTCTTATAGGACTTGCAGAAGGCTTTCTTACATCGAAACCCCAAAGAATAAAGGAATCAATCCAATGCTTACAGGCAGTATTCCAGTTTCATCCATCATCAGCAATCCAAGCGAGAACACATCTCCAAATAGGTCGGCTTCTTCATTCGTACACAAAGAATGGGGATTTGGCGCGTTCGCATCTTGAGAAAGCTGTAAGTTTTGTTGTTCTTTTAAAGATCTGGAGTGACCCTGATTGCTCTTTATTGACTTAAGATATATATCTAGTTGGTTGAGAAGTGTGTTTACGTCTAGAATCTGAAGATCGCTGTTTGTTTTCTTTTCAGATTCTACTCTCGCAAACTGTATCCTTTGATTTATTTACRGTACGAAGCTTTATATATACCTAATTCAATAAACGTTGTCATGACCAAAATCGATAGGCGATAGGTCATTCCGAGACGGAAATGGTTTCGTTGAATACAAACAACATTGAGTCAGTCTCAGCACTAAGGTCCATGTTCTTGTTGAGAATAAGAAGCAGAAACACAAGTCATTCCAGCTATTCTTGGATCCTGGAATAACGAATCTTGCCTTATAGCCTATCGCTTTTGACGATGACAACGTTCATTGAAATAGGTGTAATATAAACTTAAGCTTCAAACAATCATACTCATTATACTTATAGTGTGAAATCCTAGAATAACAAATCGATGAACTAAGAAAATAAACAAATTCTACTTGTTTTAACGTGAAAATCGACAACGACCAAAAAAGAAATTTATAAGAATGAATACTGAATTAAGTTGACAGTTCACATTGTAAAAGCAATGCCAAGAAAGCTAGGATTTGATAAAACCTTGTATACTATAATTAAACTATAACTTCTATCCTATACTAGAGTTAAAGATGTCCTAATACTATATATACACATACTAGTGTTGTTTTCATATGAGTGGGAAACATACAGTACCGACGTACAGCCAATACATGGTATGCGGCACCTTAACACTGAAATGATTTCCCTTTTCCTTCTTGTATTCATCCAATAATCTCCTTGGCATCCAATTGTAGTTGCATGACAACTCTAACATCAGATGCGAAGGAGATTATTCATCCAATAACAACAATATAGTTACAGTAAGGGTTTAATGAGGATACTGTATATGGTATGGTTACAAATTCRCAGATTTTTTAGGGACGTAACCAAAATTTTCTAAAGGGGGAAGTCCAAATTAGAAAAATGACATTTTGTTTGAGCCCCTGGAATRCCAAACCCTAAAAAAATGTAATCCTAGAAAAAAAAAGCATTACGTTGTACATTTGCTTTTTTCCAAAAAGAAATTGAAAATTATTGCATAAATTTTATCATAAAATAAAATTGATAATTGCCCCATAAATTCTATAAAGCCACCATTTCATTGGCATGAGCCCCTTTGTTCCCTACTGCTTATGCCCCTGTTGTTTCATACTCATATGAAAACTGCAATGTACTTAAACTTACAATATACTTACTTAAAACTGTTTTATTGTATAGAACGGTCTTTTATTGTATAAAACTGTTAAAAATATTCTTTTAACAATAAAATCAGTTAGGGCCTGGTTTTGAAGAAATTATTTTTGAAGGTGCAAGTCTTCTCTCCCAGATATACAAAGAACTGGTATGAAATAAAATAGAAAAATGATGATAATGGGATTTAACAGTGGTTAGACCGGGTGGCTATTTTGCCACAACTCCAACAGTCCCATTCATAGTTCCCTGCGCCATATTAAAAGTTAGCTGTGCTTTTGCATCAAAGTGAGGCAAATGGTGAGCTTGTCTCTATCATTGCAAGCTCACCGTTCATCTCCCTTYGATGCAAAGGCACAGCTACTTTTCAAGGTGGTGCAGGGAGCTGTAAAAGGTACTATTGATATTTAGAGGTTGATCTTTTCAGAGAAGAAAATAAGCATGTTGGTTATGCCCTCTCAAAAAATTTATTTTACAGAGCTCTCGTAATCTTCGTTATCATTTTATTCATATTTTTAAAATAGTTAAAAATAAGGTTTCAAAAAACAGCTGATTTGGATGTTATCATACCTGTACAGGCACAATATCCATTAGCGAAACAAGTACTGCGCCAGGCATTAGAAGTCACTCAAGGGGAAAATATATACTTCTGGCAGTTCAGGCTTTTCTTTCAACTAGCAGTGAGTATGACTATTTTGGGATTCCATGTTATGCCATAAGGGCCATGTTGGTGGTGTTTAACAAAAGATTTCTCATTGGCATCCATTTGCACCAAGATGGCCACCATGTGTTGTCTTTTAACTCTCTTGGGAATGATCTCAACCCATCAATACATACAGTATTTTATCAAAACTTACATGTATCACAGGCATGACTTGTCACCTTCAAAACCTAATGTGTATTTCTTTCCCTTTTTTAGGAAGTCCATGCTTGTGATAAAGAGCCRACAGTATCAATTGAAGTGTTAGAAATGGGTGAGAGGATAGCTGAACAATGTGGATCACAATACATGAGGTGAGTGAAATGCAATAGAAACACTATGGACAAGTGTGTGTGATCATTACCGTACATTGTATTTGGGCCTAATTATAAAATAAAAATATGTAATATTTATTAGTTCAATCTATTTTAAGGATTATACCCACTTAATTTTTATTAGCTTTTGTTAATCTATTTGAATTTTTGTTTTTTTTGTTTCAGATGTCTTTTTACACTAAGTAAAGCTCTGGTAGGTTTGTTACTGAACATCAAAAGTTTWAAAAATTTACATGTCCACCATGGAGTGATGACAGCCATGACTTAAGACAGAAACAATTTGATCTGGTTCAATATGATGTGAGTGAGAAAAACAATTCAATAAAGACTCTGTATTGTTGTGCCTCCTGTCATGGCTGCCATTATAGAGGGGCAAAAAATATCCCTTATGAGACCTGAAACTCCAGTTAAACCTGCACTACCAGCTATTTAATGATACTAACCTTTGCAATTCTTGTTTAAATAAATGTAGATCCATCAATATTTAGAATTTGGTGAATTCTTGTTTCTTCTTTAGGTTTTCCTGGTTGAAAAGAATTTCTTGCAGTTAGAACCAATTTTAACTTCAGTTGGAAACTTCCTGGAGYGCTGGCAGGTCCAGAGCTACAGCAGAGAATCTCTTGTTACTTTTTATCTCTTTCTTAGAGTTTGGCATCTTTTGACTGCTGGTCAGGTAATTCAGCACCCTTTGTGATTAAGAAATGTTTGAAAAAACATTTATACAAAGTCAAATAAAAATACTTTAACAGAGGCCAAAAAAAAGGTCAAAATTGGTATACAGCTATTTCAAAAAGCTTTGATTAAAATTTTTTTTACATGTTACATACTGTATGTTGTACATACATGTAATGTCAGCACAGAAAAAAAAATGCCAAAAAAAACGTGCAGACAAAGTTTATGAAAATTCCATGGAAGAAATGCAAAAAAGAACAATTTCTCAACTTCTTTTACCAACTGAAATTTTTAGCTTTCATAATTTTATATTGTAGAATTYTATATATTAATTTTGAGTCACACCTATTTGAAGTCATTTATTTTTATTTTAAATGTGTTTTTTAGGCAAAGACAGTAAAACCATTTTTAAAAGAGTTACAACAGTCTATACAAAAGCTGACAACCATGAATTCTGATGGTGAGTTATTATTTTGATTGGATAGCAAAGTAAGTAAAATCAAAATAAACGAAAAACAAATTATACAAATTAGTACAAAGTTTTGTAAGTCTACGGTCTCTAAGGTCTACCAAACTTACTAATTTTTGCAAATTTGTGCAATTTCTTTCAAAGTTTTTCACTGATATACATGTACTGTRTAGTATGCACTGTTATAAAGTAATTAATAATGTTTTATTTTCGTCACAGATTGTCAATTAAATGATGCTGAGAAATTTTATTGGTTACCCAGAGAATATTTATGTGTTTTAGTATATTTGGTAAGTTTATCTAAGAGTTATGTTGTATATTAGATGAATAGCTGTCCCCCGAAAATACCAATAATGTTTTTTGGTTAGATCCTGTATATTTTAGGAAGAGGACTCCACAAACATTCTAGCTTACCTACCTAGAAATGAGTTGCTCAATGAAGTATTAATTGTTTATTATACAGCTAGTCTTTCTTGTATTTAATTCATATATTTATTTTATTAAATTCCAATTACCAGGTGACAGTTATGCACTCCATGTATGCAGGATACATGGACAAAGTCTTAAAGTACAGTGCCAAGGCATTAGATCAGRTTGAAAGACTTAAAGGTGATTAGCATACAGTAATCTTTTTTATTATTAATGCTATGGGCTCATCAAAATATGATGCAACTCACAAAAGATATGTTTTCTTGTTAAGTATGGCTATTAGACCTAATATTATGCATTAATTATGGCATGTACATGGATTGTATTTTTTCACATTTCAGACTATGTGTTATTCCCTAAAATTTGCTGTTTTATAAGGAGCTGATTCTGAATTTCATGAGAATGAATTTCTTACCCTGTTAACATGGTAAAGATAGCCAGAATAAGTTCAGCTCTGATCACAAGGCTTTGGCATCTAGAAATGTCTAATGAGCATGTGTTACTCTTTGGTGTTATGTTTTCCTATTTCATACCATGTGTCATTCTCTTGCGAATATTATTATATGTTTGAGATGCATCCAAGATACTCTAGGGATTGACAAATGGTCAGAAATAGAAAATATTATGCCCAAGCTAAAAAGATCTAATTATTTTCCTTTTTCCAAATGAGGTTGCATTATTTAAATTGTTTTTTTTTTCTTCACTTGTTCTTACAGTGACAGCACCTAGTAGTCTAGTGACACTATTTCAGATAACTCTGATTGAACATAATGTGATGTGTAGGATTGTACAAGGCCAAACACCACATGCCATCAAAGAGGTATGACAAAAAGTTTTTCTTTCTTTCTAAGCATCAATATTAGCTTAGGGCAAGACATCATTAATCATTGAATGTTGTGTGTTGTAAATACGTAGTGAATATATTGGTAGTGAGTGTGGAGCAAACCTCAGAGAAGAGAGCCGTACATCCCTTTTCATCATCATCACCACCTCCATCTTCATCATCATCATGTGACTTTATTGTGAGAATGTGGAACTAAAAGTTTATTCTAATTCCATTGATTCTCTTCCCTATGCAAGGATCAATATTTGGATAATTTAAATGCAAATCTGCAGTTGTTACAGATTATGTTTTTACTTCTAAGACTTACTTTCTTGACATTACTGTTTCATTTATCTTCATTTGGACTCACTCATATATATTTGCAGATATCAATGATATATCAGAGTCTACAGCATGATCCCAAACTGATAGCTTCACACAAGCCAGTCCTYCACACTTTATTAGTAAGTGCACCAATATACTACTAACTATACATTGTAGACATCATGCAGTATATAGCTCAGTATATTTCYAATGCAGCTCAATTTAAAAATCAAGAAAAAAATTTTACTCATGAGAATTGGAAGTTCATTGTTTTTTCCTGAAACATCTTGCAGTATATTCCCAAAGCAGGTGAATTTGTAGGACAAAAATATATTTAATTTTTACTTTCATGGTGAATRAAATTAATTGTTCTTCAAACTTGAGCTGCATTAGTAATTTCTGTTASGCTAGTTTCTATTGCGAACGCTACACACAGTCAATGAAACGAATTAAAACGCAAACATTTTGGGATCAACAAAACTAATTGCAACTCAATTTAAACTCTCGCACTTTCCARGACCCATTTATTGTAGTGCATTCTCTTTTAGCTCCCCTGGTGTACAGTAGCTTTAGTTAGTCGATTGTTAACTAGGTTCGGTTTACATGTTGTACTGAAATTTGGCATTCATGAAAGAAACAAACATCTATTCGCTATCTATCTTTTCAAGATTTTGTAAAATATACCTTATTATGAGACTTGGTTCAAATCTTCACATTCTGGTGCTGTACATCTACTAGTGGCAACTAGTAGTGGCGACTAAGCAAGTGGTATATTTGCGCATGTTTGAACGTAATCAAACATAAGTAACGTGTTTCATGTTTGTGCATATGCGCGTGCAACACATGCAAGTAGGGGTTCAATAGTCCATATTATTTTTGCGTTTTTTTTTTAATTAAACATTTTTTGTATTTAAACTTGAAATTGTTTTGGGGCGGTTTTTGATAATTTTTTCGGGGGGGGGGGGGGGGGGGGG